TGCCATGTTGCAGGAGCTGATGCAATTCCAAATGCCATACGATTATAGCGGTATAGTCCACGGTGAGTGTTTATGGTTCGCAAGTCTTTACAGTCTTCATCTACTTCAAGTTGTAAATAGGCTTGCTTTAAGTCCATCTTTGTATATTGTATTCCTCCATTCAAATTTGCAAAAATGTCATCACTTTTTGGAAGTGAGTATTGATCAACATTCAACATGGGATTTAATGTAACCTTGAAATCTCAACATATTCTTACATTTCCTTTTTTCTGTAATACTGGAACTATAGGTGTAGCCCATTCACTGTGTTGAACCTTATTCAATGTTCCTTTTTTTTCTAACCTGTCCAGTTCAGCTTCTACTTTTGCACGCAAAGAAAACGACACAGTTCTAGCTTTAATATACTTTGGACTGCTGTTGTCTTTAAGAGACAATTTGGCTTTTATTCCCTTTATTGTTCCTAGTTCATCTTTAAATACATCTTTGTATTTGTTTTGTAAATCTTTGATTACTTCCCCTGTTTTCTTTTGATCTATCCCATGAACCTCCTTAATTTCATTCCAGTCAAGTTTAATATGCTTTAGCCATTCTCTTCCAAACAAAGGCGGTCCTCCTTTAGGTACTACATATAGTGGCAACACATGTGCTTCTCCTTTATAATGGACTTTAACATTTGCACACCCTAAAGGTTTTATACTTTCTCCTGAGTAAGTTTGTAATGTAATTGTAGCTTCGATTAGCTTAACATGACCTAGCCTCTTTGAAAAATCTGCCTGTGATATGACCGATACTGCTGATCCAGTGTCGAGCTCCATTTTAAGCGTTACTCCTTCAACAGTAGGTGTTACCCACATGACATCTTTTGATGATTTAATGTTATTCATTTCATATGTTTCAAGACTGGCGATACAATTATCACTATCAGAGTCTTCCTCTATAGCATGTACTGATTTCTTGTTATCAAATTTCCTCGGTTGTGGTTTCTTACATTTTGACATACAGGCTTTCTTTATATGGGCTGTTTTATTACAGTTGTGACAAATTGTGTTTTTTGAATTTACAATCGAATGGCGAGTGTCCTGCGTTGTTACACCTGTAACAGCGAGAGTTCCCTTTGTTATGCTGTGGTTGAAATTTAGATTTACTTGCACTCATTTTGTTTACCCTCTCAGTTCTATGTTTTGCTTGCAATTCAGTTGCATCTTTGGATGCGGTCTCCATAGCCACACCAATATCTACTGCTTTATCATATGTCAAGTCTTTTTCTGACAATAACCTTTTCTGAATGTTCGGGTTTTTAAGGCCACAAACTATCCTGTCTCTTAACTTTTCTTTGAGATCTGCATTAAAACCACAATGCAGTGAGAGTTTTCGTAATTGTGCAACATAGTCTTGTATCGACCCCCCTCTTTTTGGTCCTATGGTCGAATCTGAATCGTTCTGATGCTTGTAGCGGTTTGGGAGCTAAATGATCCTTTAATAACTTGACTAATACGTCGAATATTTTCTCTGATGGTTTGTCAGGAAATGTCAGGTCCCTCAACAACGAGTATAGTTTCCCCCCGATCAGGCAAAGTAGGGCAGGAACCTTTTTGTTTCCGTCGATTTCATTTGCGACAAAATATTGGTCTAATCGTTAAACATACGAGTCCCAGGGTTCAATTGTTTCATCATATGGGTCAATTTTTCCTATCAAACCAAATGCTGCCATGATTTATGTAATGTACCGCAGATTCCTTTGTTTGGAACAATATCGACGTGGAGTCGAACAAAGAATCGGGCCAATCAATTCGATATTTAGCTATTATCATGCAAAATGTTCAGTGTTTGCTTCGATTTTACCAATGTCTATACGTTTGTTTCATATTGTGTAATGTTCATTGTTGCTGTGGTTCGTCCTCGTCGCCAGTTGTTACGTATTGGACGAGGGGGAGATGTAAAGCATCAGGCAACCATTGTTTACATTTTATGAACTACTTTAATCAAGCATGTTTGTAAATAACAATAACATATTCATACGCGTGGTGTAACTAATAAAGAAGTCAATGACGGATATAACAACAATTATCGTATACCATAGTCACCCCTTAGAGATATATTCTCGAACACGTAGTCTATTTTAACACCGCCATATTTGTATGTTAGGAATATCGTTAATGATTGTCTTTAGTTTTAATTTATAAGACTATATTTGTTGAAAAAATGGTGGACTTGGTGACTTGTCCTTCATAGAAAAAGAAGAATATGCGGTATGATTGCTAATGAGGCAACTCTCCACCTGGGAGACCATATGTGTAGTCTATATAAAATTTGTTCAAAATTTGTCCAGATTCTTGGCGATTAGAGATGGACATATTGAATTGACACTTTATCAGTGTGTTTAAATATTGGTATCTTTCCTTTTGAGTGGCTGCATGCTGTTAATTCGTTTGTATAATAAAAGTCCGTATTGTTTAGTAAAGATACTTTTGGTGTCCTTTTTATGTTTGCTATTTATGTATTTTGGATTTTCACAATTTGATATATAGCACAACTGACGAGAAATAAATTTTCCAAATGATTTTATTGTGTATCAAATTTATTACACTGTCTTGCAAATGTGTGTGTACAATGAACTGTAAATAAGCATACTTGAACATTTTGATTAGTATCTGCTTGTGTATATTATTTTAGAGTTAATGTATTCTATTTAAAGATATTTTGGAAAGTCAATACGTGCAACTTCATTTTATTTAAAATGAAACAGGTATATTAATCCGCTGGCATAGATGATCATTAAACTGCATGATTTGCTGTGTAATAAAATTAAGTACACACGTTATGAATCCTGTATTCATTTTCAACACTTCATTCGTAAGGTTTGTCAGCTGCAAATCAATTTTGTACATATGTGTACATTACTGCCACAATGGGAAACATTCAGTCCCCTGTAGCAAATGCTATATATATATTGCTGGGAGTTAAATATCGTTATAATTGAGTAAATTCACATTAAAACAATAACTTGTGAAACCGATGAAAAATTTAATCTGCGTATATTATCATCTTAGCAAAAACAGTATCCGAATAAGTAGATTAGGTTGGGGAGGTCCATTTTCACGGACAATTGATAGATGTTCCTATGAATAGCAATTATGCACAACTGATTTGAAGATAATACTCATACATTATATGTAGCAGAACTTATACAAAAAGAAAACCTTTATTCAAAGTCACAAAATATCATCCCAGTTCTTTAATTTAGCTTCTCCTATCTAGACGATGTAATAATGTTATTATCTATATAATAATAAGACGAAGGAGATAGAACTTAACATACTTAAATAGCGGTGCTCTTTTATATACATTCTAAATCAAAATTGACATGTCCAAATGTATTTATACATGCCGAACAACCTAACTATGCCCAATCCTGAGTTTGTTTCTCTGCGACATTGGAGCCCGTGGTTATTTAGGGTCCGTTTGCTAGTATGATTTGGATGTATCAATACGTCATAGCTTTTGATCGGACTTGAAGCGTTTAATCCAAGAACGACTTTAGAGCATTGTTTTCAACAACTTAGGAACCTTAACCTACAACTTTACTTTTTCCATCCGAAAAAAATTAAATAATCTCTAATTTTGTTTTATTTTTGGCTTTATTTGTTTAAGGGTAAATTATATTTGGCAATTTCTACTCCGTCACTCTCACTTCGACAGCTTTCGAATGGTAGTTTTACTTAAAATCATTTTTTTTTTATCAGTGTAGTAATAAACGATTAAATTAGTTTACAACATTAACTGCATGTAATTAATATACGTTTTTGATGAGAAACCTCAATAACCAATTGATGATCACCAAACTGTATGATCTGTGTAGCGTTTCTTGTTCATTTAGTTGACAAATTTCATTCACAGGATTTATGGTACAATGACGTTACATGACCTTGGCAAATCAAAATATAATTCATTCAATTTAATTTTACAGGAAATAGTTTAACAACAGATCTTAAGTATTGTATTTAACGAAAATGGTACTTTCTATGTGAGAAATGAGTAATGTTTTCATGTGAGCAATTTCACCACTATAATCATTTCAATGTCTTCAGTGATAAGAAAACTTTGTCTTCACTCTGATATCAGGATTTTAAAAATTAATTCAAAATTCTCAATCTTTCGGGATAGAGAGAGATAGGAAACAGCGGATGAAGCCTGGGGCGTTTCAAAAACAAGCATACATACATATGGCATATCATATAAAATGACTGTGTAGGGAAGTAACGATTGTTTGTTTTTCTCACCCCCTTTAGTTCGTGAGGTCGATTGTTTCTTTTTTTTTCTAGTTCCAATTTTTTTCCACTGTGTATCATCACCATCGGATACATGTACCCTGGAAGCAAAGATACAATGATAGCAAAAAGTGTCTATTCTATTCTTCGTCCAGTAAAAAAATATTCTCCGTACTTGAATTAATCCGCTTTATTTACAAGAATTTCTCTGTGAAAACAATCGTTTATTTCGAAATACAGTGCGTCTTTGAACAGGAATCACTACCACACAACTTTATTTGTCAGCAAAACGTAGAATATTATGAAATAAGAACAATCTAACCGTACTTGACTTCACATTTGTTTATTCCACCGCTTCGGAGGACACTATATCCGGTGGTGATGCTACACAGTATTTACAGTCCATTTTTGTATAAATCATTTTCACGTTGGTTCAATATTTCCTACTACTCTTATATACAAGGCTTATACTATGAGGTAAAGATGTAAAAAAAATTTAATTTATTAAATGAATTTTTATCATGCTACTTGTAGAGGGTCTTCGATCAGGATGACATTCGGATCTCACTTCTTACAAAATTACAAAAAATCGAGTCTCCTGATATGAACGAAAATTAAGATATGAAGAAAACAAAAACAACAATTAATCAAAACGGATATCATCAAGTCGACATACGGTCTTCAATGGTATACAAGCTATCATGTCATAAGTTAAACATTTAATCGGCGTGATAAATTGATAAATTTAAAAGAACTGTAGAAAATATTTATGAAGATCAAATTACCTTAATGGAAAAAAAAAAACGCCAACCCAAAACCAATGACATTCAATATCGAATTACTTGACTTCGGACTAGCATGTGGAAATTTCCTTCTGGTGAAATTTGAATTTGTGTTCTTGGTATGGACTTTCTTGGCGACATTCACCTTTAATTTCATTTTAATTAACAGTAAATTTAAGTAATTTTTTTTATACGACCCGACATACATTATGCGATGAAAGGTAGATAACTGCATTATTCTTTATAAAATATAATTTTGTCGTTGATACTGATTTACTTATGGTTTTAGTTATCATATATTATATATAACAAACAAAAAAATATATAAAAAATTTCTCACATAATAATATCTGTTGTTCAACTGAATACAATTATATTACATTCAATTGTTTTGAAAAAGTCTCTTAAAGGCTGGATTGAATTCATGGAATGGCAAAATATTAACAGATTGCAAGAACGCTTGTCGTGCCAATTCAGTGTCACCTGATAATTGTAAAGCAATACCAAACATATTATACGAAATAGCATTTTCTGCACAATCTGCTATGAAAAAGTGTTCAACTATAACCCGTTCTAGATGTTCGAGGGAATCCTGACATTGTCTGACATGATTGAGATGATAATGACATAAACACTTAAGGAAATAAGCATATGCTCGAGAATAAGAAAAATATGCTCCATTAATTATTTCTGATGTCAGTTCATCAGGTATCAGTTCGCATTTCCCGTCAAAATTCAAAAGTCTACAAACAATATTTTACACAGATAAGCAATATTTTGCTTCTGCAATGATTTCATTTTAAGCAATTGATGATGAATATCAACCATAGCCATGGGGCGATACAGTTTTTCCGGACTGCATTTAGATATTGCATAAACAATAACGTGTAAAGCATTATCGTATTGTTTTGTCTTATAAAAACACGACGCTAACATCAGCCATCCCGATACAGCGTCATGATAAATATTCTGTAGCATTAAAGTAAGACAGGATTTGTACTGCCTGTATTGGTATTTATTATTACTGCTCGTGCTGTTTAGTGGTAAAGTCTGGGCGAGTGACGTGCAGAACATTGACATGAAGTACGATATGAAGTATTTTATTGAAGATTTTTCACTTAAAACAATCTGCTGAATTCCTCTTTTCAATAAAAACACACCCTTCATTGCTAATGTACACATAAAACTATTTGCAAACGTAAATGAATTAGAATGAAGTATTTTTTCAACTTCATTTACATGGAATGTGTGTGGTTCGATATAAGAGTTAAACTTGGACAAACGAAAATTAGATACTTGATCTGAAAATAAGATGCATCGCCAACCGTAACTACGCAAGGTATATAGTTTCTCTAAAAGTATTTCACAAACAGGTCCCTCTATCTTGTTTTCAAACATGTTGTTCTCTGGAATAAAGTAATGCTGGCAAACTGAGTGTTCAACACAATACACCAGTCTGCTAAAACAACGCATGAAACATGGTATAAGATTGTAAGGTTTCCACACGGATTGTGGTAGTTCCTCCGACACCCAAAAAATTATTGTTTTCAGAAAATATGAACAGAGTAAATCTTGACATTTGGAGAAAGAAGCTTTTACATCTTTCATAAGAACTTGAAAGAGAGCATAACATAATAATTGGGTATGTCTAAATGTATTCATCAAAAGTTTTTCACCAACTGAAAAAGATATTCGCCATTCTATATCTTCCTTTGGGGCACATGATCCCTGAACTCCGATTGGTACTAAAAGAACTCCGTGTTTTATTATCATTTGTTTGACATTATAGCAGGGCCATGAGTTATTCGATCTTGTTATCCACTTTTTTGCAATTTATATCCATGATTTGCAATGAAAACAAAAAGCATTGTCAAACCACCCATAATCGTCGGATAAACACGGTCCATGAATTTTCGTTTGCTTATCATTCGCGATCATTTCTTTATATAATGCACTCGAACAATAATATTTACCGTTTATTTTTTCACAGGCATCAAACACAAACTGCCAACACGCATGTTTTAGGAGTAACTGAGTATAACCAGGCTTGACATTGTCTGTTTCCATTGAAAAATATGTTATTCTTGTACTCAATTTTGGTTGTACATCTTCATAAACTTCGATTCCTTTGCAAACAAACATAAAATCTAAATCACTACCTTTCATATCGAGTCCTTCCCCAAAGCTTCCACTTGTTATCACTGCTGCACGGTAGTCGCATAACAAATTGTCCCTGACAGTGTTCATTTATCTGATTGTTTTAACATGATCTTCTGATCCTACTACCTTCTCACACAGATACCGATACAGCGCCATTGATATGTCTTGTGTTAGGGAGTCTGTAATTACGAAAATATATTAGAATATGTGCTTAAAAAAATGAAAAATTTATCAAAAAAACAATTTGGATACACTGTATTGCAGTTTTCTTGAAAAGTAAATTCAATAGGCAACCCAACTGATATGTGAGATTCCCAATTACAGAAATGTAATATGAAAAAAGTTGTATCCTGAGTCTAGAAAACGGTTCAGAATATAACAGAATATTTTTGTCGATTAATAAAAAGTAAAATAACAAAAATACCGAACTCCGAGGAAAATTGTAAATGGAAAGTTCCTAAGCAAATGGCAAAACCAAAAGCTCAAACACATCAAACGAATGGATAACAACTGTCATATTCCTGACTTGGTACAGGCATTTTCTTATGCAGAACAACATTAATATAAAAGGTTCGCTAAAATGACCTGGTCTTGTGAAATGTCTTACTTCTTCTGTGAAGTGCCGTTTTAGGATGTTCGCTACTCTGTTTCAAAATAACAAGCTTTTTAAAAGACTGTTATAAACTGATAGTATATGAATAAAGGAACTAAAAAAACAGAGAAAAATGAAGGGTCCGTGTGCTTGTTTTTAGATATAAGCCATTGAAAATTGGACGGGAAATGATTCTCCCTAGATTTTTCATACATTTAACATTGGCACCTTTTTCCTTACAAAAACTATGAAAAAATAACAAGGATTTTATAAGATTTTCAAATATGGCTTTTTAAACTATATGTAATAAAATTATGCAAAGAAAAGTGAGGGTTAGCGGGCAAAACTTTTATTGATATTACACTGGATAAAACTAGAGGATTCCGAATATCTGACAAAAAAAGTATAAAACTAGAGTAACAAACATCCTTAATTGACTTATAATGACTGTTTATGAATAAAAGGACATGATGGGTATATTGAAATGAAACAGCAACCTAAAGACAAAAAACCATAAGACATGACGAGGGTAACATGTATGTATATTTAGTCTTCCACTATAAACATGACTTAGTGTTTAAACAATATTTCCAACTGTAAATGAGTCTGCACAATTGTTAATAGCCGAAAATTAAACCACTATTTATGCCGATTTTAAATTTAATTCATTTGATGTGTACTGATTGATATTTAAGTCTGCGATTTTAAGTTGTTATTGGCGTTGAATTGCCTTTCAATAACTGCTGGTACTCTTAGATTGGTACTTGATTTCGATCAAATGAGCCAAGCCATTTTCAACTGACTTTAAGGGTTGTCTTATATTGTGTTTTTCTATCACTGTCCTATGTTAAGAACCTGTAGTTCAGTGGTTGTCGTATGTTGTTGTCTATCCAAGTTTTGTTTTATTGATTTGTACACAAATTATAAAGTTGGTGCGTCCGAAGCGCATTTTTTGGATTAGCATAAACTTTTATTTAGTTTAGGTTAAAATGTAGCCCGTGGATACTACTGAAATTTTTCCATAGTGCTATGAAAAATGCAGAATTTTCTAAACAGTTAATTTATAGTTATGACAATATCAATGATAATTCATGTCAACACAGAAGTGCCGACTACTGAGTTACCAGATATCTTGACATCTATCTGGTACATAATAGCACGCAGTTAAAAATCATTAACCTACTAGTATCAGTTGATGAAAGATCTGGGCCTTATGTCACCGTACAAAACGTAGTTGATTAGGTGAGAGCAACAGACTTTAATCTCATAAAAGTCACACAACTTTACAATTGTTCACATTTAAGAATCGTTTTAAAGTTAGTTGAACAATTAATGAAAATTGGAGATGTAAAACGAAATTTCTCTTCTAAATCGATAAAATTTCGGTCTCTCATTATCGCTTTTTTTTAACGATTTTTAAAAGTTCAACGATTCGAACTACAACATCTCCTTATTTTAAATGCGCTGCATCATTCTTTTGGCCCTAGTTCGCAATATTTTGCCAGTGCTTTTTTTGTAAAAATCAAATTGAATTTAAAATATTACATACAAACATAAAATAATTTCACCAGTAAACAGAACATTATTATTCAAATGAAACATACATACTTGTGAGTGCTGTTAACATTCCAAGGGAAGTGTTTAATTCTTAGATAAATGCCAAAGACTTATTTCTGTCATTCTTTCACTTGGCCAAATCACTACTTGTACTTGCATCAATCATATTATTTAACTTGAGAAGGATTGAATAGTTTACTTTTCAAAGAAAACAGTATAGCAGCAAGAATATTCAAGCGAAATACAAAATGTACCCAATTTAATTGCTAGGGAACTATTTCTGTAGACCACAAACAAGAGTGGAAATAAGTGTGGTCTGAGACCTGTTAGCCATCAACAAATTTGTGTTTTTTGTCAAACTTTTTAGTCACTTTACATTTAGTGACATGTATAAAATATTTATTTGGCAAATTTATACCGAAATTTGCAATAATCCAGAAAATATATTAAACTTAAATAGTTGAAATGACACATCATCTTGCAATTAGTGCTTCTCATATTTGTGTCGGTTTTTTTGGTGGAAAATTTTTTATCTCTCTGAGGATAAATTCAAAGGTTGCCGATATTAAAAGGGTTCAGACATAGAACGTATAACTGTGGGTATAATCACACTGATTTTCATTCTTAAATCTTTCTGAAAAGTTATGAATACTTCTAAACTAGCCAAAGTAAAATAGGACTTGATATGTTTTAATTTCAAGACACTTTGGCATCAACCCTTAACCAATGAATTAGTTTGTATTAGTGACTCAATAAGCTAAAAATTACAAAACATCGTATACAAATGGCATTGAAGCATTCTATATTTAATCATGGTCATGTAAAACATTCCACTGAACTAGGAATAAGGAAATGGAATCAATAATATGTAAGTTCTATTATTCTGAGAAAATGTGTTGAAATTGACATATCAGATCATTATTGTCAGCCACTGATAGTCAAGTCTATCAAATTAAGCAACAATAAATATGCTATACTGTTAGGTTGGTATTTGAATTTATTTATTCTTCTTGAATGACGATAAAATGTGATGTATAGATTATCGGGTTTTCGGGATATTAATATCGTAAAAATATCAACCACGAGCAACGATGTTAAAATTTTTGGCGACTAGCTGACAATTTACGATATAAATATGCTGAAAACCCGATAATTTGTTTGTCGTACCATTTCATTTGTTCTCCCTTCCTTAGATAGTTGTACACTTGGTTGTCCTTACGAATGTTTGCTTGGTAAGTTATGTATATTGTGACGTCGCTGATAAGTTCTCTTCACGTCTCAAAACAACGATACGAGCATAAAGTAGCGATTGAGCATGGTGATAAAGGAACAGTGAAGTACGATAAAAAATACAATCACAACTTTTTTCGAACAAAATGAGACTGTGTGCATACATGCAGAAATGACGCACTTTCTACCATGTTAAATGATTTAGATCACATAATTTATGAAAAATTAAATGAAATGAAAAACATGCTGAAATGCATCAATAAAGTACCTTTTTATTTTATGAATTCAAGTGGTACATTCTTACAAATCTTATTGTATAATTTTCAACTGCAATATTCTAAACTTTAAACAAGAGTCCTCCAATAGCTCGAATCGCTCACATGGTAAAATTATGTCATTTTGATATTTAATTTTACCTTGATTGCAATCAGTTATTTTTCTTATTTTGATCTTATGTATGATCTTTTTTTTCTGATCATTTCAATATTTTGAAATTTTCTATCCACTAAAGTGTTCGAATAAAATGCAACAAATTGGTAAAAATCATCCAGGGGAAATCTATAACTAGACGGTTGACAACTTTGGCTATGTAAACTTATTACTGTTTCTGTCTATCAATTAAAGTTTCTTCAAAATCACATTAACGGATAAAATCGTCTTTCAAGGGCAATAGCTCATATAACCAGACGGTTGACAACTTCGTCCATGTTGACTTAAGCTTTTTTTGCCTTACACATGTTACATCTTCCATTTTAACAATTTGTTTTATCTATTATGGTTTCTTGAAAATTGGTAAATAGTATCTTCCATTGGGCAATAACTCCTACAAGGGTTAAGTTGACTTATTTCTAGATCTTAAAATGTTTTACAATTTTGATATTTAGTGTTTCTCTCTATATAATTATGGTTTCTGCAATATATGAAAAAAGGGTAAAAGTAATCTTTCAAGGGCAATATTGTATAATAGGTCAATTGATAATATAGGCCATTTTGTCTTAATTGTAAATCTTTAACAACTTTATTCAATTTCATTGGTTGTCTAAACTTGCTTACCAGGTGAGCGATTCAGACTATTGGAAGCCTCTTGTTTAAAGTTTAGAATACTGCAATTGAAAATTATATAATAAGATGTGTAAGAATGTACCACTTGAATTCATAAAATAAAAAGGTATTTTATTGATGCATTTTAAACATGTTTTTCATTTCATTTAATTTTTCATAAATTATATTAAACTGAAGTATAGATTCTAGGTACTGACGTTGTTTATCATCTTAATTACGTGTTATAGTATTCTTTTATTTGTCTTTGTAAATTATTTACCATTACTGTTTAGTCCATTTTTGGTAATATCCTTTAGGCGTGGCTCGGTACTTATGCATCCCGCCAATGTGTTGTGCTGTGTTAATTTTGTGTAATCTTGTCTTTCATTTTTGCTTATGTGCTTTGTCTTTATGCATTTAGTTTTTCTTTGTTGACATATTTGTTTTTATTTATAGTGATTAAGATTATAACACAATATTGACTGTTTTACCCCTATTTTTGACATTTTTACCTATTATGTCTGTTTGTTTTGTTCACACATTGTTGTCAATATAATAGAATTTTATGCGACTGTCATTCAAGTGAGAGGTTTAGCTAGCTATAAAACCAGGTTTAATCCACTATTTTCTACATAAGTTAATGCCTGTACCAAGTCAGGAATATGACAATTGTTTTCCATTCGTTTGATGTGTTTGAGCTTTTGATATTGCCATTTGATGAGGGACTTTCCGATTTGAATTTTCCTTGGAGTTTTTTGCTATTTTACTTTTTACATCCACTTCATTTAAATTTTTGTTGGATAGTAGTCTCATTGGGATTCATACCACATCTCCTTATTTCTATACTGTAAATTTTTTTTTTCAAAAAAGGACGTTTCAGGGGCAATAACCCCAAATTGGAAAATACTATTTGATTAAAAAAAACAAATGGTAGATAAAACTTGACGAGCCGATCATTTATGCCGCATGGTAGAATTGCAATTACTGCATTAGTTTTTAATATATAAGCCAAAAAAAATGCAATTCTATACCCTATGTTCTATTTTTATAAACAGCCGCCATGTTTGTTGATGAATCAAAGCCCTGGATACAAGTTTAAACAAGATTCCCAAAGGATTGTTCAGAGATGTTTGCTAATATTTAGACCTGTAGTTTCAGAGGAGAAGATTTTTTTAAAAGTTTACTGCGAATGGCAACTGAAGCAAATCGATGGCAATAGATGTAGCCCTTATGTGAGATAATTATAAAAATAACAATTCCTGCTTTATATGCCAGAATATGGTCAAAATGTCTTACTAATTTGTGCGTGATTTCTGTTTTCTGTCTGGAAAAATAAACTGGCAAAGATATTCAGTTTGTATCTGCAAGACAATTTATTCACAACAATCCATATCCTAGACATCAGAATATAATTTTTTTTACAGTTCAAATCTTTCTGGGTAAAAACCAAATTGAATGAAATAAACTTACCAGCTAAAATAAAATTTTAAGTCTATATGAATATTGTGTTATGAAACAATTTCCGCATTTCGATTTTATCTTAATCACTATGAAATATTCGTAAAATCAGGGTTTTTTTCCTGCATTAAATATCTTTATACTTATTATTAAATACATAACTGTGACAAATACGTTTATAAATTGGTCCCAGTACATAATCACTGCAATTTCGTTTTTATGCAATGAAATCGTGGATGTACTATCATGATTTATTTAAAGAATTAAATTTACATCGAATTATCCATATACAAAACCTATAAACTAATTATAATATGTCATTCTATGAATTATTACATACCGGCCATAATTATTCATCTGTTGACTGTGATAATTTTGCATGTCCGTAAAATCTATATGATCTTCTTCCGTTTATAATTTTAGTTTCGTTTTGGATTGACGTATTTCCTGCTCTAGACGTAATTCTTTAATCATTCCGGTTCTTGTTTCTCTTTTATATTCCGTATGTAAATTATGTTTTGCATAGAACATAATAAAATTGCAATCATCATCATATCTTTAAATAACTTGTATATAAAATAGTTAAAGGGAATCTTTAAAATATCGAATGAGGAAATTATGCACCAAATATTTTGGATTTTTATCTCGGGATAACATTTTCAACTTCGAAACAAACTTTAATCAATAACACACACCTATGTATGTATAAGTCCCAGCTACAGATTATACTTCTATAACACCTATTTCAGCTACAGGAACAAGAATTGTTTTAATCAATACTGTTGTTTATTAACTATTCTTTAAATTTATTTTTAACCTAACGTGGTACATTTTTTGTCACTATCGGAAACGAATTATTTATTTATTTATTTTAAGAAATTCAGAATCAAACAACTTATTTCAGTAAAATGTCCATCATTTAATTATAAAAGATTTCGGGCATTGATATTTTGTTGAGGTTGGATGGATATATCTATTAAAATACTTTTTTGTAATTTAGTTTTCTCAAAAAATAATTTGGTTTTAGAAGAATAGAGAAAACATGGTTTTCCAAAAATAAATCCTTGTTCCTGAATGTTATTGGAATTTTTTTTCATATAAAGTGGACATCAAATAGTTTTTCCTTAAGAAAAAAACCATGCCTCCACAAAATTAATGGTCAGTGCCGTAAGATGATGATTTACCATTTGTTATCTTCATTCTTTCCTATGTTATTTCATGTCTTCATATATTGGCGGAATCAGTGAAGCGCCCTGAAAAATTATAACTGCATTTAAGTAATGATTTTACTGTAGTTATTTTTTATTGCACCCATGGTATATACTTTTTCTTTTTAGACTAGTCATTATCTTAAATGTATATACCCTAATAAAAGCTATAATTACCGAAATCCTCCTTCCCAAACATCTGGTCTTTAACCGTGATATATATAGTTGATTCTGACAACTCAGGTTCTTTGATTGCTTGATGGACGTCCTCCAAGACATGTACGCACAGAACATCATTTGCGACACTAAACAAATGTATGAAAAATAAGTTATCACTTATATATATATATATATAATATATATACAAGTCTAAATTGAAAACAACTTTCAGACCTATGATTGCGTTGGATAAAAACCGCAATTTTTATACGAGTGTATGTAAAACAAATTTCTTGGTAAAGGGGTCTAAACACAGCACAAACAACATTTTCCAAAAGACCAAAAAAGTGAAAAAGTATATTTTAACAAAACGCATTTGACTAGAAGGTCGAACAACAGACGTTCTTAAACCCTGTTGACTGCCATGGCGATTGCCAAATAAACGGATCACCAGATGTAACAAAATGGATCTTAATTGTTAATTTAATACCAAACAGAAAACAATAAACTTGCGGCAAAGATGGTATACAGCAAACATAAGGTGCAAAAATTGGAACACCATATCCGGATTTCGACAATTAACGTCTCTTCAGTGATGTTAGGAATCGAAACGGTATATGGAAGGCCATATAATTTACCTCAATTTAGGATTGACTCTTGAATTTTGAAGAGTAGAAATAGGATGAACGGATTATATAAACCAGAAGGCAAATATAATACAAGCCCAAACGAAAAAATATAAACAAGTCTAAATTGAAAACAACGTTCAAACCTATGATTGCGTTGGATAAAAACCGCAATTTTTACACGAGTGTATGTAAAACAAATTTCTTGGTAAAGGGGTCTAAACACAGCACAAACAACATTTTCCAAAAGACCAAAAAAGTGAAAAAGTACATTTTAACAAAACGCATTTGATTAGCAGGTCGAACAACAGATGTTCTGAAACCCTGCTGACTGCCATGGCGATTGCCAAATAAACGGATCACCAATTGTAACAAAATGGATCTTAATTATATGAATTTATAAAAATATTTCATAGAAATAATAAATAAAAATAACACTTTTATGTTTTTTTTTAAATCTGTGCAAAATAGCTAACAGGTTCAGTAATTAAAGCATGCAACAGTCCATATATAATAGAATAGGCAGGGTTTGTACTGATACGGTACGAGTGGTTGTTTCCCACAAGTAAAAGGTATATTTGCAGGTCAACACTACTTTTTAGTGTGTGTTATGTTATTGTTTAAATTATAATATCTGTCAACCCTTGTATCGAGTTACAAACTAATTATAATAGTAGCGTAGCTGGCTAAATGGTCAAGGCAATGGTAGCGTAACAGGCAAAGCAGCTAAGGCACTGGTTTCAATATGGTAGCCGAGAAACTCTTTAACATGAACTTACTTTATACATGTACAACAGATAACAAGACTGTATTAAGCTTACAATTTATTATATATAAAACATCTCATATCCTACAAAGTATAAATCACAGCAGCAGGCATACTGGTAAGTTTTAATCTGACGCATGACTATACCTATATTACTGTTATCTGCTATAAACAGATATATTTATTCTTATTTACCGCCAAGAATTCGTAAGTAATATTTTTCTAAGGAAACAAGTGTGGACACAGCCTGTGTAGTCTGAAGGGTGAATTTGTATAATGACTTGTGCAGGGGTTGATTCTGCAGAATGTCTGCAGGCGCAAATGTCATTAAAAAATCGAAAATTCTGTTGTCTTTTTTGGTTTGCGAATGTATAATACACTGTATTACATCGAAATAGTAAAACAGACACTTAAGGAAGTAATAAAACATTAACAACGAAGGACAACTCTCAGAGGAAACACTTGAAAATTACCATGACTGACATTGTTCTGCAAATGTGTTGCATATTTTAATTTTTTCAAGCCTTGACTCCCAAGACTAAACTGAAATGTAAAGGATTTGAAGAAAACAAAATTTGATAGAACCTATGAAATCTGGAATTCATTAGTATATTAAGCTTTGAATTTGGTATGTGATTTCATCATGCCTAGACTCATAAAGCCCAACTTAAATTGAAAGGATTTACTTAAAAAGCTGATCAAATCTTTTGAAATTTGAATAAAACGTTTGTTTCATTACTTTAATGCTTCGAAATATCAGAGGAAATGTCTTGTAAAAAATGCAATAAATATATTAAGCGTTTGTTTGGCTTTGTGAGTTTCGTACTTTTTACACAGTTTAAAATTTGATTTATGCATTGGGACTCATCAGTAGGCTTTGCATATGAGTTAACAGACAAAAAGACCATTCAAAGAGAAAACAGCCAATGGCATGGTTTTTAAATTTTCAAACGAATGAAATAAAATTGTATAAATGCTGTTAGAACTAAAGAAATCAGAATAAAGTGAAAGGATAACTGTTAAAGGACCAGCTTTTAAAATGTTACATTTTTTTTAAATAAATTTGACTTAGAATTCAGCATTACTTCATATAAATATAATACAAATGTTTGGATTTTAGATTTCGTACTTTAAATTGTAATGATTGCCACTATCAAAAAAGTTCTGATGTTGTTTGATACAAAGTGTTGATGAAACAGAGGGGGCGGGGGTGGCACTTATATCTTTTTGTGGTAGAGATGAGCAGCTTGACATTTAGAACCCCACCCTTTTCATATGTATTGAATATTAATTTAAGAAAACATACAGCTTTGTTACCCTATTTCATGGAGAGGTAATTTGGGTTGGCAAATATCTTATGTATTTATGACTGTGGTTTTAATTGCATCTTAACAAATACTAAATATATCAGATACTTATCATGCTTATATTATATATGTAATTTAAATGTCTTACCCTTATTATATATTATGACGTTTGAAATATTAAGTTATTCCACGGGCTCATCCCTACCACCTATTGCACAGTAAGTGACCCCCTCCCTGGATACATGTACATGACTTTTGTGTAAATGTAGCTTTTTAAAAAAACATCCTACAGATACCACAGATTATACATGTATATCAATGTGCTGTAGAACGTCCAAAATAAGATTCTGAGTTTTAAAACCTCCTCTTGGCAGGATCATAAGACTGCAATCATAGGATTGCAAGTTTTCCTGTAAAAGGTCGCTGGTTCTCTCTTGGTACTTCGGCTTCCGACAAAACAAAATGGCAACCTTGATAATGCCAATTGTTGAATGTGGTGTTCAACACCATAAATCAATCAACTAATCAATGTGCATGTACACAGCCATTGTACATCTTCTTACATGTATAAATGTAAGAACCTTAGTTACTTGGTACTCCCCAGGGCGTTATAGCTCAATGGTGCTTTATGTTTTACTATCTAAATAGATTTTATATTGATATGTATTATTAGAGTGGTGCTATAATTTAAGGGATACAGTACTATTTTCAAGTCCCTTGGTCTTGTTGGTGGTACATGTATCTAAAATCTAAAAATACTGCAAGTTCACATGTTCATACATGTACATAGCATACACTCTAGCAAGTCTGAATATAAAATCAGTAAATCTTTGACTTGGATCAATATCAAAAACATAACAATTTTGAATAGCATTTATTGCACGTTTGGTCTTTAGCTAAATGTTAATAAAACAATATACTATAACCTATCATTATTTTAATTATTAAGGACATACCTCAAGGGTCTGATAAAAAATAACTTCAAGGTTAAGATTTTTTAATAAACTCCGGCAACTCTGACTTATTGTTTAAATGACTTTTAGTTGATGTCAAACATTTTATTTAATAATCGGTCTATCAAGCTACAATTACAGTAGCAAAATGGAACTCTAGATCTATTGGACTATTGAAGTGATATTAATGAAGAACTTTCAAAGTTCACTACTCTAAATATTTCACGAACTGTAACATTTTGACATAAAAGCAGTCTGAATTGAATCCTAAAATGTAAATTTAAAATTGCCTTACATGTATATTTACATGTTTCGTTTGATTCTTTGCAGAATGTCGAACACCTTATATAAAAACAACAGGAAAGTAATATTATTGTAATATATGCTAGATTCTAAC